GCATTGCTCTGCTCATCACAGCAGCACTTGGCCCGCTCCCCCCCACCCCCCCATTGGGATGTGACGTTTGCTGCAGAGGAAGCAGACCCTGACGTAGGTGACCAGAGATTCTGTTTTCTTAGATCTAGCAGCCCATTTTCTGTACTTGGTGTGCTCACTACCACAGAGGGCTCCGGGGCCAGTGAAAGATACATCGGGCACGTGTATTTCCCTGGAGCGCTACCCTTGAGGGTCACATCTCATTTTCCTGTTTTCTTACCTAAACAGAATCACTCCCCCATTTAAACCGAAACCACCATTTGCCTGTGCCGCTCAGAATGCTCCCTAGGTGCAGCACTTCGTGTGCAAATTATAATTCAGAAAAGGCCGCAGTGAATGCCTGCAGCCCATGATGAAACCATACATTGAGATATCAGCCTGTAGAGAAAGAGGGAAAATTACTTTTGCTCCAAAGGTGGTGCATTAAACTCCCTATTTGTACTTATTCCCCCTTGTAGCAACCCCCTGCCCCCCTTCTCCCAATTCAAATTGCCTTACGTGGATTGTACTGGGATTGGTCTTGGAAGGATCTATTTCTGATATTCTTTTGCTCTCCATCGCCCCCTCCCCTTTTTTTTTGCAGAAGAACCATTTTCATTTTATAGTGATCAAACATCTTACCTGAGTATTTGCCTTGAAGAGCACAATCGGCTTCAAGTGGAACATTTTTCTCAAGAAGAACTTAAGAAAAAGGTATTGACCTGTTAACTTTCCGTGCTTTGTTGGTTATTTGTTGTGTCTTGGGCTCCTGATCCTGAGGTGTAAGATTGTGAAAGCCCCTTTCCTCTCCTTTCTTCCCTCTCTCTCGGCCGGTCTTGGTTCCTTTGGTGTATGTTACCTCCTGTGCCCTCCCTCGTGCCTGATACCCTCCTTCTCAGGCTTGAGGCCCGGCCCAGGCTTGATCTCCTCTAGGAAATGCTCTCTATCCCTCCCTCAGGTCATTCTCTTCTCTTCTCAGACCTGACTGCATTCGTGTCATGCTCATAATGACCTGGAATGATCTGGTTACTCATCTGTGACCCCATCAGGTTGTGAGCGGCTCGAAGTTAGTGATTGCATTTTATTTATTTTTGATTTTCCAGTATCTACCACACAGAGTGGGAGTTAATACCTGCTTTTTGAAAGAATAAAGGTCCAGGTTTGCTGAGTAAATCTTTTTTAAAACTAGAAACCAAGTTTCTCAACCTGTTGGTTGTTGGTGTGGTTAGAGTGGTTTAGTGTTTCAAGAGCCTAAGAACCACTGCGAAGAGTAGGAAATGTGAGCTCAGAGGAGACTGATTTATTATAAAATTACCATATATGTATGACAGATTCGGTTTCTGCCTTGGGCTAGCTGACATTCTGGTAGAGTAGCAGACATGTGAATAAGTAATTGCATTGTGGAGGGTGAGGGTCGCTGAGGTAGGCGGGTGTGCAGGGTATAGGTCGCAAAGGCAGCAGAGGAGGAGGGGTTAATTGCTAGGGGGTCGGGGGATCCTGACTTGATCAGAGGAGGCTTTTCGACAAGTGAGGCCTGAAGTGGGTTTTGAAGGACGAATAGGAGCTTGTCTAGGTGGAGGACTTTTTCAGCAGGAAGAGACGGAGTAGGTGCAAGGCACTAAAAGTAAAAAGTCGAAAGGAGAATTTAAAATTTTTCAGGATTTTGGGAGGAGCGGAGCACGGAGCGCCAAGGCCTCTTAGTTTTGGAAGATAAAGAAAACGAGGATCGCTGACAGCACCTGCGGCAGCGTTAAGGCCAGGAACCAGGTCGCTCGCGGTTGGCACTCGGCAGGTGTTTGCGGAGTCAGAGGGTTTTGTTCTTCTCACTCCCGCCTTGCGGGGTGGGTCCAGTTTGTGTTCATGTTTGGCTGTATTGGACACCTGTGTGTAGTCAGGGTGGGACGTCCCACTTTATCTGAGGGGCTAACGATTACTCCGTTAAGAAGCCTGTGAAATGACCGGCCGGCGGGACTTGAAGCTTGCAGGGAACGGAGGTGGCGTCTGTGAACTGCTTATGTACCTGGTCCAGCAAAGCCCTGTCTGGGGGCTCTGGGGGTTCAGCTCCAGGCCCGCTCTGCCTCTGGGGGGGCAGCTGCCGTTCCCCACGCGGCGAGGCACCTTGGCCATCCTTGTATGTCATTTAGGCCCCTGGACACCCGCAGTGGGCGAACCTTGGGCAATGAACTTCTTTGTTCGGTGGCTCCTCATTGTAAAATAGGGATAGTCATTCTAGACTGTCCACCTCCTCAGGACTTTTGTAAGGAATGAATGACTAAAGCTTGCGGGCGTATTTCGGTAGCTGTCGATTGCTTGGTGTTGGAAGACGATTATTATTACTGACATCGCTGGGTAGGTATACAAAGAAGAAGGTCGATGCTGTGAAAGAAGACTGACGCAGTCTCAGAAATGTCCGTCTCGGGGCTTTTCCTCCAGAGGACCCCAGGTACGAGGCAGAGATCGTATTGGCCGTCGCTAGTGGGGCACGTAGATGGTGCCAACGTCCTCAGTGCACCGTGACCGTGATCACCTTCCATCCTCACAGTAGCCCATTCCACAGATGAGGAAATGGAGGCTTAGCGCAGGATCACTCTGCCTTGAAGCGGTGGCCGTGGGATTAGAACACAGGCATGCTAGTGGTTTTTCACCGTACCCTGCCTAGCCTGAAGTCTGGAACCAGCTGCCTGAGTTTCCATAATTGTGATGCTGGAGAGTCTGCTCAGGAGAAGGTCTGTGTGCAGGGCCGGGGCCCAGGGGCGCTGAGGTCGGCTTGTGGGTCCCCAGCTCTATCTCTGCTCTTATCTCTCAGGTTAGTGACCTGATACAGTTGGTGAAGGAACTGTATACAGACAACCAGCACCTGAAGAAAACCATTTTTGATCTCTCCTGCGTGGGTTTCCAGGGGGGTGACGGACCTGAGGCAACAGAGCAAACAGAGGTAAGAAGAAACGTTCATGTTACGCGCCGACTACAAAACGGTAACCACCCCCCGAATGTCCTCAGACCGCACCTGTCCTGAGGAGGCCCCTGTAGAAGCTGCCTTTGCTGGACGTGGTTTTGAGGGCCCTGCTAGGTCCTCCTCACGTCCGGGTTCTGTCTGCATGGACACGTTGGGCGTATTTTGATACCTTTGACTCCCGAGTCGGGCCCTGGGGTCTGGGCCACAGATGGCGCATCTGGATGGGTGGGATGGCCTCAGAGGGATCCAGAGAGTCGCCGCATCACCCAGGTAATTTGGGTGGCGTAGATGCAGCTTTAATGAATGACTCTGTTAACGTGGAAAAGCACATGTGTAAACACATTTTTCATTTTCTTGGTGTATTAATCTTCTGAATTCTCTGCAACTTGTCACTCACGGCCTCTGGACCGGTGGCTCTGACTGAATGTGTGTCGTCCCTTCGCGCACGTAGCCGGGACTCCTGCGCTCTGCCTCGTACAGGGGACGTGGTGGGGAGCACACAGCCTGTGCCAGCACAGCCCTCGACCCCCGCTTCCCGGCTGTGGGAATTTTCTGCCCGTGGCATCGGAAAGCCCGGAAGGGCCACGAAAGGTTAAATCACGGTGTCTCTGCGAGGACCGCAGAGAGCGTGTGGTTCGCTGGGCTCGGGTACCCGCAGGGCGAGTGAGAGGCCCACTCTGTTAGCCGTCCAGCCCCGTGGAGAGAGCGGGGAAGCCTTATCCAGCCTGGTGACATCCGGGCGTCTGATTCTCCGTTCTCGGCCTGTGCGTACAAAAGGGGGCCTGAAGTCGTGTCGCTGAGAAAGAGCCTGTCCCTCCCCTTAGCCCTTAACTGGCCTCGCTCCCCCGGGCATCTGTGAAGCCTTTTTCAGGGGACCGGGGCTGTACTGGCCACGAGGTGCGGGAGGACCTTTTGTCTCTGGGTCCCGGGCCCCTCAGTCTTCCTGCTGACGGTTGTCTTGAATTCGGCCTAGCTGGCCAGGTAAAAGGAGGTCTCGTTGCCACATTCCGGGAAAGATCCGTCAGCCTTGAAGCTGTCTCCTCCCGCCTTCAAAGGGGGAGCCGCTCAAAGGTATCTACGTTTCGCTCAGGCCATCTGCTGTCTTTGAGGGAGGGAACGTTATTGATCGTAGCCTCCCGGGCTCCAGATGATTTTGGAAACTAAGAATATCTGCAATCCATTTAGGGAGAAACAAGTCTCTTGGTTTGTTTTCTCCAAGGCAGCATTTTTAATAAGCAGCTCATTCTTCACCCACTTCATTTGAGTCGTAAATGGCGAGTTTGTTTGTTCATTTGCCCTTTGAAAAAAATCTGTTAAATGTCCCATTATGTCCTTTGGAGAACAGAGGCTTTTTCCTCTTCCCACTCTGAGATCTTAATAACCAGCCGATTCGGATTTGAGTCATTTGTCAGATTGCACTTCAGCTTGATGTTCCCTGTGAATACATTTGTCCTGTGTAGCAGTGTTCCATCTTCCCCCGGAATGGGATGGGAGGATCCCAAGATCCGCATGGGAAGGAGGCTGTTCCCACGGTGATCCTGAGCCAAAAGGTTGCGGGGGTGAGGGTGGGCCGGCAGAGAGGGGCCGCTGCCCCTCCCCAGGCCAGTTCCTCAGGAGCGCGTGTGGTTCTGCTCGGAGGGGGACCGGAGACGCCCAGGCTGTGCACAGCCTTGTCCCAGCAGCCGGGCTCGCGGAGCGGGGGCTGGGCACCATTCCCGCTAAATGAGAAAAAGTCGGGTGGGGCGGGGGAGGGAGGTGGTGGGAAGCAAATCGCTTTTGTGTTTTTAAAATTCAGTATTTTTCTCCAGTGTTTAATTAACCCACAGCATTGGGTTAAAATAGAGAAAAGAAATTACCCCGATCCTGTCACTTTAAAACACGCATAGTTAATTAACATTTTGGAGTCCTTCCTTCTCTGTTTGTGTGTATGAACATGTACAGGCCCACAACGCATATACGGTTTCGTTTCCTGTGTCTTCCAACATAGCATCTTATTTTACCTAACGAAGGCACTGAAATTTAACTAAGCCCCTGATTATTGTTGGACATGTAGATGGTTTCTAGAGAGTCACTCTTTTCAATTACCTGATGAGGGTCTTTGGACCCAAATCTCTTTCTGGGTTTAGGATTTTTGTCCCCTGAGACTGTATTGGGTATTACGTATCCCAGATACGTAACTTGTAGGTCAAAAGTACAGATGTAGAAAGATACAGGTATAGAAAAGCATACCATTTATTTTCATAGAGGCTCCCCCTGCAACTTTTAATTCGACAAGGGGTCTGAACAGCGGGAGGCCCTTGATACGGTTTGTCGGGTTTGTCCTCAAAACAGATGCCCTGGAATGGGCCCCCTCCAGCTGGCAAAGACCACGCTTACTCCCCGCGTGTGGGCCGTTCGCTTCAAAACCAGCCAAACAAACAAAAGACTGAGGACAGGTGTCCCTTGGTTTTAAAAGTGCCTTAAAATAGTCCCAGATCGGTTTGTCGCTCTCTCTTCATGTTTGTTTACTGGTTACTAATTGATGTGCTTGAGAATTGATGCGCAGGAGTGACTGGAGCAGCCGGCAGTCAGGGTGCTGCTGAGCCTGCTTTGCGGGCAAACCCCGAGCTGTGTGATGTGTGCCACCGTCCCCTCGAAGGGGCAGGACGTCGGATACGTGCGTCAGTGCGCAGAAGGGCTTAGTCTCTATGAGGACTAACATCCCTATTTGCTTATGTCACCATTTTTAGAAACGGCTAGAGAACTAAGATCTTTTTTTTAATTTTTTTTCTTCCTGGAGGGCAAACACGGATTGAAGGGCATAATTTAATTGAACGCAGAAATTGGAAGGGCCGTCATTCTGAATCAGAAGTAGGCCTTGTGTGACTCTAGAGGACAGACATGGTACTCCGAAGCAGAAGGTGCTGGTTAAATTCTGCTATTAGTAACAGAATACAATTTCGTTTGTCCGAAGCAGATTTGATTTCATTAAAAGGAGGCGCTTTCTAACCGTCTGACTTCCTAAGTTACTATGAATTTTACATGATGGATAAAGAGCCCTCGGCACAGTGCCTGGCGTGTAGTAGGCACTCAGTAAAACAGTTAATTTAATTAAAACATTTTTATTAAGTTTATTTCGAGAGACAGAGACAGCATGAGCGGGCGACGGGTAGAGGGGGAGAGAGAGAATCCGTGCAGAGCCCGACACGGGGCTCAAACTCATGAAACCGCGAGATCGTGACCCGAGCCGAAACTGAGAGTCGGACGCTAACCACCTGAGCCCCGCAGGAGCCCCAGTTTCGTTTAATTTTTTTTTAGTAAGTTAGTGGCCGAGTTGGGCCTGCAGCCTTCTTCTGGCTCCTGTTCCGTGTTTTCGTGACACCACGGGCCAGTGCTGCCGAAGTTTACCGTGCATGTGACTTTCCCGGGGAATCTCGTTAAAGATTCTGGTTCCATCAGTCTGGCATGGGGCCCGAGAGTCCACATGTGTCATGAGCTTCTGTTGCTCCGAAGGACACCCTTGGGGCAGCAAGACCAGAGGTAATCCCGATTACTTTTTGGTCTCAGCTCTCATTTTGAAAGACTCTGTTCGTTCCTTTGCTCTTTCAGCAGGTACTTTATTGTGCACCCCGCGTTGTTAGAAATGAACGCAGACGTGAGCCTGCCCCAGCCGCTACGTCGGGCACAGAAGCTGGGGAGCAGGTGCCCCTGGGTGTGGGGAGGACTGTGAAGGAAGAGCACGGTGTGCCGAGGGAGTGAGCAGACAGGGGTCTGGCCTTCTCTTGAGGTCGAGGGTAATTCTTCCTGGAGGAGGAAGGAGAGCCCGAAAAGCAGGTCAAAAAAGAGTAACCCAGGAGGCTGGGGCAGAACCAGGATGGTGCAGACGTTACGGAGCGATGCTTTAAGGAGGGGTGTCCACTCAGGTCAAGTACTGTCAGAAGACCAGAAAAAAGTGGTGGGAAGTTGTCAACGAGTCATTCACGTGTGGAGCCAGGGACATTTCTCTCTGTCCACAACACTTAATTTCTTGGCCGTTGCTGGAAATTGAGTTTACTTTTAATTTTGACCAAGTCGGCAGAGGTAAAGAGAAATGAACGTTGATCCTGCTTTCGCTGTATGGGGTAGTGGTGTGGTTGTGGTTCTGGAAATGAAGAATGGCTTGGAGGCTTTTGAAATTTCAACTGGGAATGACGTGGGTTAACAGTACTGTGCTTAGCTTAACTTAAGGGGAGACCCTTCCTTTATCCACAGGGTCAGGGATGAGCTTCTCTGTGCCTCTTCCCTGAGCCAGTGTGGGTTCCATCTCCCGTGTTGGATGGTCTCTGGGGACCTTTCACGTGCAGTTTCTAGAGAGTGTCAGCGACAAAAGCCACAGTGCCAGAGGTGGGGTTAGACACTTCTTTCAAGAAGCTTGGAGAGAGGCAGGGACGCTCAGTGACCAGAGCTGTTTGGGAGCAGAGGGAGACTGTTGTTTTGTTTTTTAAAGATGGGAGAGACTTTCCCCCAGAATTTTATCCTGAAAACAATTTAAACACCTCCAACGTGAGAAGAACCTGATGGTGAACACCCACACACTCCCCACCTAGATCCTGCTGTTAACATGTCCCACCGCATTCACTCCATCTGATCTTTTTGATACATTTTAATGTAAGTTACAAATACCTGTGCCTTTCCCCTGAAATACTTAAACACGAGTATCTTAACTTCAGTATGTGTTTACAGTTATTTTTCCTTTTAAGGTTACATTTATGTACATTGAAATGTAGAAATCGTAAGTCTGTGTTTGCTCAGATATACAAACGTATGTACCTGTGTAACCCACACCTCCGCCAGACCCCTCAGCATCCCTTCTCATCAGTTCTCACTGCTCCCCCCCAGCCATTTTTCTACTTTCGACCCCCGTGTGTTAGTTTTGCCTGCGCTAGGCCTTCACAGGAACGGAATCATCAAGTAGACTCTTTTGTGTAAAGCGTCTTTCACTCGGCATTCTGTTTTTTGAGGCTCATCCATGTTGTTACGTGAACCAACAACATGGTCCTTTTTATTGCTAAGTAGTATTCCATTGCACAGATACATTAAAATTTGTTTCTTTGTTCCGCTGCTGCTGATTTGCATTGTTTTGGTTTGGGGACATTATGATAAAAATTGATCTGAACACTCACGTACAGATCTTGAGGTTTTCACTCTTCTTGATGAATACCTACGAGTAGAATTCCTGGGTCATAGGTTGATTCGTTTTATAGGAAATTGCCAGTACTTTTTCCACAGTAGGCTAACATCTTCTACTCCCACCAACAAGTTTGAGAGCCCTGGTTGATCTTTATCACCTGAGAGTGTTTTAGTAACGAGGGAAGATGCCAGCAGAGGGAGAGAAGCCCCTGGCCCGCGTGGAGAAACTTGACGCCTTGGTGAATATATTCGTACGCGTCCGGCCTGTTTAATGTTTCGTAGTTTAGGGAGCTCTCATTTGTGAGATCATCGGTTCCGTTTGATCGTGACTGCAGATTTGGCTATGATTAGGTTGAATGTGTTCTGGTCTTGAAAAGGTTTCTAGAAAATGACTTAATGAAGGCAAATTGCTTTGCTTTGTTTGCTTTCTTCGCAAATAAGGGTTTCCTATAAAAGGAAGATCAGAAAAACGTAAGTTGGTCTGGGAAAATTAGGGACTGGATGTAGGAATTGCTAAGTAAAACCATAGAGACAGAACCTTAGAAATCTCATGCACAACACGCCCGGCAAGTGACTCAGCAAGCGACACTTGAGTGCAGAACTTACAATTTCATCGGTGAGGAGAGGTTTAGTATAATTTTTGCAACAGCTCTGACTGATTAGCTTCCTGGGTGTGGCCACCTCTCCTCTCCCATTTTGATTTTGTTAATCCAGGTGTCCCAGGACTGGAATTTTCTCTCTTCCGGAGAGCTGAGATCTGGCCGTCTCAGGAACATCGTACTGCCCGTTCTGGAGAATGCACAGTGCAGAAGCTTTGGGCCTTCCGCCTCTTTAAAGCCTTAGGGATTTATGCAGTCTTTATAAAAGACTGCTCTTCGTCTCCAAAGCGTAAAGTTACCGTCAGGCAAGGTCGATACTCTACTCATTAGCGATGAGGACTTTCTTGTCAACAGAATGACAGCATTGTTGGGACTGTCCATCTCAGCTCTGTGACAGTCCAGAAGGAGGTTTATGTGCTGGGCTAAATAGGAGACGTGATGCAGAAATCGGGCAGAGCATAAATTTCATTTACTGCTTTCTTGCTATTTGATACTTTCAATTCCGTCAATAGCTTTTTCCTGAACTCTTGTTACTTTTATATAATCTGAAAATGAATTTAGCAACGGCAGGAGTGGCAACAGCACAGCAGACAGCATTCTCGATCTACAGCAGCTCGGGGAGGGCCTGCCAGGGCAGGGGAATGGCTTTCGTCATTTCTCGGGGCCTTTGTCCTGACATTATGCCCGATCCTGGGCAGCTGCGTGTGATTGGCTAGAACCAGCATCTCTAACTTTGGTTAATTTTTATTTCATCGGCTTTGGCATTCGTTTCTGCCTCCTTTTTGGTTTGTTTTTTGTTTTGCATTAAAAAAAAAAAAGACATTGCTGACTTATTCATACATATTCATGCTGCGCACTTTTTTGGGTTGCGTTTTCACACCATTCCATGCTCCATGTAGCTTCTGGCTAGCAAGGAGGACAAGGACACGACCAGACTTGGAGAGGATGACGAGAATAACTTCCTGAGCGACCAGCTCTTGGAGCAGAGCAACAAGGTAGGAACGTGGCGGTCCACCCCGATTCTGTCCTCCCCTCGCTGTGCCCAAGCCAGTCCTCCAGTTTGGGATGAATCCGTTGGCTTTTCTGTTCCTCGTACCTGTGTCGAGTGTTTGCCGTGTGCCAGTGGAGAGCAAAGACACTGAGTCTCTCTCTTCTCAGACCACACACGGGGTGGAGGGCCCGTCAGGGGACAGGAGGACATACGTAGGGCTGCCAGTAAAAACAGGGTTGTTGTAAGAGAATAACTGGCTTTGGATGTTGGACCTGGTCAGATCCTTAGAGATCTAACCCCGCCCATTTGTTTCATGCGTTGGAAATTGAGGCCTGTGAGGGGAGGGGGTTTCTCCAGGACACAGCGTCAAGTCAGTGGCAGAGCCGAGGTGAGGGCCCTGTCCCTGGACTGCTGCAAAGTCCCAGATCATGACCGGAGTGTGAGGACTCCCTTCTCGGGGGCCCCCTCCGGTCCCCTGATATGGAACCCAGCTTCGTGTCGTCTGGGCACTGTTGAGAATTTGACTCCTTCCCTGTAGAACGTTCCTCCAGTCACATCCATACTGGGCATTTGGAACAAACATTCTCCCAACTTGAAAGAACCCGAGAGACTAGGGCACAGTGGGAGATAGGAGGCTGGAGGCTTGGCATTTGTGACCTTCAGAGTGTTCGAGTTCTCGTGGTCGTGAACGGGAGACCATTAAGAGGTGGATGGTTTGGGTGAGCAGAGCAGCTCCGAGTGGGCGCTGATTTTAAACCTTGCTGTGTATCTTCATGACCTCCGTTGACCCTTGCTTAACCCCCAAGCCCGAGTTTTTCTCAGGGGAGTTAATACATCCTTGCTGGAGTTTTTGTGATATTTAAATAGAAAGGTGTGTACCAAGTGCTCGGTAAATGCTATCACTCTTTTTATCAGCATCTCCGAGACCTTTCCTTCTTTGGAAGTTGCTTATTTAGATGGATGTAATAACTAGGTTGGTGGCAAACAAGACCCTATAAATAACGGCTCGTTTGTGTGGGTCTTGTCTTCCATTTAAAAATCTTAATCATTTCACAAGTGTGAGAGAGGGGTGTGATGGCTAGTGTGTATATCACCAGTAATGAAGTCAAGGGGAGTTATTTATAGATGGGTAGAAGAGATTTACAGCTTTGGAAAGGGGGAGAAAGAATGCTAATTGCAGCACCTCCAGACATGCCCAGCACAAGCTTTAACTAGATGCGTCCTCGGTGCCACTCCTTCGGGGCCCTCGGTGACCCAAGAAGGTGGATCCGTAAATAACATCTCCCTGGGAGTTTAGGAGCTCTCTTCTTTTCCTAATGAGACAAATCAAAGTCATGTTAATTAGGATGTATCTGTAAAGAGTGAGGCACCTTTCTGGTAGGTAACGGGGAGGATACACCGCAAGAAGTAGATGATAGATGTCCACAAGGTCGTTGATGGCACGGGCTCCCTACCCTTCCTAGGAAGAACTTGCTAGGAGCTGGCCAGGGGGCGGGGGGACACATGCCTGGTGGGCAGGACGCGGCCCTTCCTCTCATTTTTTTTCTCGCGGTCACCCGGGGAGGTGGCAGTGTTCTCCCCGTTTTGTGGATGAGGGAACCGAGGGCAGGAGAACTGACGTAGACCTGTCCGTGCTCTTGTGGGAGCCCCTCCCCCGCAAGGCACGTGTGTGGACCTTCGAGCCTGAGCCCGCTCTGTGCCCTCTCCTGCTTTCCTTCTCCCTCTGGCTGGCTTGCAGTGCTGATGCGCTCTCTGCCTCCGTCCTCTCTCTCTCCTGCACGCACCCCCTCACTTTCTTCCCAGGTCCGTATTTTGACCAGATACTCTGATTTGCAGGTTGTGGAGGATTATTCCAAAGGAGGTTGCAAAAATGGATATTTGAGGCACACGGATTCCAATAGTCTAGATTCCGACGGCGCCCACAAGCCTGGCTGCCCCAGAGACCGGAGTCTGGAAGAAGGCGAACTCATGAACTTGCTTGCCCCGTTTTTCAGTGAGAAGGCCACGTTGTTACTGGAATCCAGGTAGACATGGGGCCCCGGTAGTGGTTTCTTTCTCGGGTGTGAGGGGAGAACAAGCTCATTTTGCTAAATGGATTTAGATGGCGGTGCTGTGTAATTTAGCCGAGAGAGCCACCGAAATGTCTTGGAAGGAATCGTGCCAGTCAAGCAATTAAGTAATTAGGCTGCACGCTAGTGGCTGGGAGGGGACTTCAGCAAAGCCTCGTGCAAGCCCAGTATGGAGAGCGAAAGCAAGCTTTCCTCTGGAATCGGTCCTGGGAGCCCCGGGAAGGGCTGTGTCTGGCTGTCAGCGAGAGGAATCAGGCCTACGTAGTCTCTTCCGGTTTCTGCAGCAGCTTAAAAACTGCCATTGTAGTCGTGACTCGCGGTTTTATGTGGAGCTCGAACTGAAATTCTCGTCTCATCATATCTGCCGGGGGTCATCCTGTGTGAGGAAATACCTCGGGGTGTTTGCCTTAAAACGAAAAAGGAGAAACGTTCCGCACGTTCGTGTTTTTAAAATTAACCTTTGGGAGCAGATTGTCCCCCTCCCCGCTTCCCATTCTTCCGAGTCCGTCGTGACAGCTGCTTGGGCTTTGGGGCCAGAAGGAGCCGCGCTTTCCTCTCTCAGGGCCCCCCGGCCTCTCCGGCCACTTCCTCGGGAGCCGCGAGGAGGAAGAAAACACCGTTTAAGGAAAATGGCAGGCGGGTGGTGTGTGTTCAGTGAAAGTGTTGCGCTCTCCTCCAGTGTAGACAGAGAAACGGAGCCGCTAACTCCTGCCCGTGACTCTTGGCAAGAGCCAGGAACCCCACTGTCTCTCCCGTCGGTGGACTGAGCCTCATCGGCGTTTCTGTAGCTAAAATAGGACTGGGGCATTCTGTCATTGTAAGCTCAGGCAGGCTGCCCCTTCCCCAGTCCCTGGCATCCGCCCAGCATTTTCCTAGCGCGCATCCTCTTGGGGTCACATGTCTAGTGCCTCTGCTGGCTGATTGTCACAGGGAGTTAGGTGCCCGTGGTTGACGCTTGAGAGTTGGAGGATTTTCTCCACGTCAGGGTCCCACACGTTACATCAGAGCTCGAAGATGCAGCTCTCCTCTGGGGAGCGCCTAGGGATGTGCCTGGGTGATGTGAGCAGGGGGATGGAGGGGGAAGAACAACGGGCCGTGGTGGGCATGTGGGACGCTGGGGGGGTGGCTCCCTGCTGGTGGGCGGGAGCTTCTTAGGCCCAACTGACGGTTGCGGTGTGAGCACAGGGGCTCGCAGCCTTCCGGTCTTTCAGTGGAAGCCCCCAAATTATATTCTAAGTCTCTTGATTTTTGAAAACGCA